GAGTAAGATAAAATAAAAGAGTTGGGTCAAAGTGAAAAGTTGAGAATTGAAGGCTTGGCCCATGTCCATGCATGCACGTGTCCCAACCAAACTTCAAAGTTCACTTCCATATTTGATTTTAAAGGAATCTTCCTGCTTACTTTTGGGCACACACAAAGACAGACAGCCACAATTTTCTTGCCTTAAATTCCTCTGTTTTTCAGAGACTTTGGCCACAAATTTCTCTCGTCTCCTAAAATTTAGTCTCTCCTTAGTCATTTGTATTTGGACTTGGACCCCTCATTTTGTTCATTCAATCCCATCACTATTCTTCTTTCCCTTTTCCTTTTCAATTTGTACCTGGGTTAGAAATCAAATATCAAACAAAATCCGGAGTCAGTAGGAAAAACTATTAACCTTGGGACAAATTTGGCTACAGAACCGAGTAGAAAGATCAGTTTTGGATGAATTTGATTAAGTGTTACTAACTAATAGACCGTTTTTGTACTTGAAAAAAAAAACTAATAGACCATTTTGGACTTCGCTTTTTCTTTTTCTTTTTCAGAACAAACCAAATGTAGAGAAATTAGAGGGTCGAGTTTCCACCTTGGCAACTATTGGTACAATGAAAAAAGTCAAAAAGGTATAGGAAAAGTTCGAATATCTTGAACCAGAAATATGAACATAGTTCAATTAGTTAATACATATTTCTTGATTAAAAAATTAGTGGTTTGAATTACACTCCACGTGTTATTGAACTCATTACAAGTTACGCTAATGTGACTAATATTTAAGAATAAGAAACCTTTAGCAAGAGATCTATTTAATTTAAAAAAACAAAAACGAAAACGAAAACAAAAGATCTAAAGTCTTGAACCTCTGTCAAATATGTTATCATCCTCAATTATCAAAGATCCAATCTACAAATGTGCCAAATTTCTAAGAACCAGAAAGATTAGGGTTTCAAGTCTTCTAACAATAAAGCCTATCTCAAGTAAATTTAGTTTGATAATGTTCTCGTTTTCAATTTTCTTTAAGAAATTTAAGCATTTTGCAACTAAATATGTTTATTGTTTTTCCAATATTCTCAAAATTATATAGAAATTTTGGAAACAACCCAAACAAGTTTTTTCTTTCTCGTTTCCATTTCTAATTTGTTCCAAAACATAAATAAAAATATTATTTTATCATACTTGAATTCATTGGTATTGGGACAATATAATTTATTTTATTTATTAAAAATGCAGCAACGTTACCAAAACAACCCTTAAATTCCCAATTTCTCATCTACCATTTCATATTTGTAATAAGTTGTGTATATTATTTTATGC